TAAAGGCTACCAATGTGTGCCCGGACCCCCCCGCGCCCCCACCGCCCCCACCGCCCTCACCACCTTCATCCACCGCCACCACCCCCACCATCTCCATTACTGCCACGCCTGCACTGTGCCTCCACCGCTTTCACCGTTCCCACCGTCTCCACCGCTCTCACCGCCCGCTGTATTTGGAGGTGTTTAAAGAGTATATATTTAAAGGCTGCCAATGTGTGCCCGGACCCCCCCGCGCCCCCACCGCCCACACCTCCCCACCCGCACCACCTTCATCCACCGCCACCACCCCCACCATCTCCATTACTGCCATCCCTTGCGCTGTGCCTCCACTGTAAAAAAGTAAAGAGTATCTAAAGGCCGCCAATGTGTGCCCGGACCCCCCCGCGCCCCCACCGCCCGCCACCACCCCCACCATCTCCATTACTGCCACGCCTGTACTGTGCCTCCACCGCTTTCACCGTTCCCACCGTCTCCACCGCTCTCACCGCCCGCTGTATTTGTAGGTGTTTAAAGAGTAAAGAGTATTTAAAGGCTGCCAATGTGTGCCCGGACCCCCCCGCGCCCCCACCGCCCACACCGCCCACACCGCCCCCACCGCCCACACCGCCCTCACCGCCCTCACCACCCCCACCACCTTCATCCACCGCCACCACCCCCACCATCTCCATTACTGCCACGCCTGCACTGTGCCTCCACCGCTTTCACCGTTTGTAGGTGTTTAAAGAGTAAAGAGTATTTCAAAGGCTGCCAATGTGTGCCCGGACCCCCCGCGCCCCCACCGCCCTCACCACCCCCACCACCTGCATCCACCGCCACCACCCCCACCATCTCCATTACTGCCACGCCTGCACTGTGCCTCCACCGCTTTCACCGTTCCCACCGTCTCCACCGCTCTCACCGCCCGCTGCATTTGTAGGTGTTTGAAACGTAAAGAGTATTTAAAGGCTGCCAATGTGTGCCCGGACCCCCCCGCGCCCCCACCGCCCACACCGCCCGCCCTCACCGCCCTCACCACCCCCACCACCTTCATCCACCGCCACCACCCCCACCATCTCCATCACTGCCACGCCTGCACTGTGCCTCCACCGCTTTCACCGTTCCCACCGTCGCTCTCACCGCCCGCTGTGTTTGAGTAAAGAGTATTTAAAGGCTGCCAATGTGTGCCCGGACCCCCCACCGCCCACACCGCCCCCACCGCCCACACCGCCCTCACCGCCCTCACCACCCCCACCACCTTCATCCAACGCCACCACCGTTTTCACTACCCCCACCATGTCCCGGCCTTGCGATGCACCGCCGCGCGCACGATTTTTTTGTCATACCACCCAATGGCCACAACTGCACTGGTTCCGTATATACTACTGTACTACGACGACCGACCCCCCCCTCAGTAATCAATCCCCCCCACCCCGGCGCCAAATTTATCAAGGGGGGGGGAGGGGGGGGGTTATTAATAGGAGGTTGACATTAATCATAACGAACACAGCCTTCCTGCGAAACTTGGTTTTGTGCGGATGCCTTTTGCCTCTGAGTCACAAGGTTGCTGAAACATGCGCACACAATGCCCGAGAGCTGAGCACTGCGTCAGTCCGAATACTTCGCCGCATCAGTCATGTGCTCATGCTACTCGTGCCAGTTACAAGACTTGCAGGCCCTATCTTATTATTTCATGTCACTTCCTCCGTATCAGGGTTGGCTGCTTTCAACACCTGCTGCCTTCCTTGGATGGTCACATCTCTTCTTTTGGGGTCGGCGGCAGTGGCGGCAGCCCATAAATCGGGCAGCGCTTCGCTGCCCTGTATGGACTGAGCTATGGCTCAGACGAATGAGCTTGTCTTGCGAAGCAAAAGCCACGACGGCTTGTGCCGCCGACCCCGCATCATCGGACCTCCGTTTCTCCATCGGGCCGCGCGGGCCCTGGCCCGGAGGCGTCTCGGAACGCGCACGCGCTTCGCAGCCATTCCCCACGGCATGGCGGGTTTCGGGGCCGGCGTGGACGACCCAAGGAGGCGAGCATCATGAGCATTCGGGCGCCCGCAACCGGCCCCGCGGCGCGAAGTTATGATTTCCAAGTTTTTGTGTGGCTTGCGGAAGCCCCCAAAGGGCGCGCATCATCAGCATCAGCGGGGTCCGGCGGACGGGGGGTGCGGGCCACATGGAGGGCCAACTTGTCTCGGCACCGTCCGGAAATTTTGACCGTGCCTTTCCGTTCCCCCGCTACATCCGCTAACAACAACTCGCGCTGCCCGCACCTGGGCGCAGGTTTTGCGTGGGTTGCGGAAGCCCCCAAAGGGCGCGCATCATCAGCATCAGCGGGGTGCGGCGGACGGGGGGTGCGGGCTACATGGAGGGCCGACGAGGGCTGAGAGCCTAAGATCACCCACAAGTTGTGCACTTCGGGCCTACGTCACACTTTTGCTCCGGTGTCGAGCTGTCGTTGTCTCGGCACCGTCTGGAAATTTTGACCGTGTCTTTCCCGTTCCCCCGCTACATCCGCTGACAACAACTCGCGCTGCCCGCACCTGGGCGCAGCCCCTAGAATAATAATTGACTGTACAGGTTACCATTACATCCAGGTCTAACTTGAAATTTATTCAAGTTGATTTTATGATCAGAAAGAATCCCTCTCATCCGAAAATTCAAGATATATTTACTTTTCGATCATCCCTCCTGTCCCTCCTGAGAGATTCGAGAAAAGATAGTCCCGTTTATGCCCATTCCATTCGAATTGTGTTCTAAAATAATGCTGACGGCTGCGGAATGTCGAGACTCGAAGTCTTGGAGGCCCTGGTGGGCTCTCCGGAAGCTGTAACGCACATTTTATCTCTCAAGGATTCTCGAGAATACACTCACACTGTAGGGGCGTGGAAGCACGTTGAAAATGTCGTCCGGCGGACTTCCAGCAATTGCCGATCTTTCAGCCCCAAAGCATGAAAAAGAATCAAACCATTCCGGCTCCCATCCGTGCTGCAACGCCCCTGTGCTTAAAACCGGCAAGACTCAATGCTCAGGCCCAATGTCAGGGCCATTTAACGGGACATGGGCTTGCAGGAACTGCTGTGCAAAAAGTCCCGACCTTTCAACAGTTTAACGGCAGCTATGTTGATCCAATCAGACCACGTGCTGCCGTACTTTAGAAAACCGTGACAGTTGGGTACAGTATGCTTCGGTGTGGATGGCTTGCAAACCCACTGACGGAGTCTTCACAAAATCTTCCTCCTGGCCACAAATCCCTTGTAGGATCGGCCGGGGGAGACGGCAGGATCGCCAGCATTGGCGGATTCGATCGGATCCCATATTATGAGTTGGCCTGCCTCTCTTTACCCTGGGAGATGGAAACAGCTGTCAGTAAGATCTAACTTCCGCAACGAAGCAGGCCCTTTTGGCATGATTTCAACCGTGTCTTGGTGCGCATCTTGCAAACCGAAAGGGGTCTCGAGGCCCCGAGCCTGAGCCGTCTCCGAACTGACGTGGAGATGCTCAGTATGCGATCACCCTGCTGCTGCTGTTCTTGTGCCTGCCGGGATGGCCACCGCACAGTACGAGAAAAGGAACATAAAACATTGCATCACTATACGTGCGACACCAACACCGGCTCCATGACAAGGCAGGTCTTTGGTGGAAGCGGGGAACTAGCCGTGGCCCCCGATCTGAACTGCAGAGGCAAACCAATCTCAGCATGAAACATGTGACTTCTTGCATGCCCGCGGGTGCGTGAAATGAGGCACCACAGTGTCGTAGAGTATGCCACACATTCCGCAAACGCGAACCTGGAGAACAGCCGGCTCGCAGCGTTCATCAGATCGAGCCAACAGCAATCTCGAGCACTACCAATTTCTGCAATTATTTGTGGCACAACCTACACTCAATCAAGACTACCGAAGCAGCCAAGCAGCAGCAGATGGGCCCCCATCACAGCCCGTTCCTAGCTCTGGCTGATTGTCCACACCGCACCAGTTCTCCTGCAATGTGATGGGAGTACTTTCGGCCAGTTCTAAGGAGCATGTTGTAGTGTCTGTTGGGGCCATGAATTTGGAAATTGAACGGCTTCTAGCAGAGCAGCCAGCATGCTCGAAAGGGATGTGATTGGTTTATCGGGCAAGCATTCAGTCAGCACTGACCTTCAACTGTTCATCCTGGAGCTTTTAGGTCGGCATTTTCATGGGTCCGACGCGCATCAATCTCAGCAGGAAAACCCGCCCAAAGTGTGTCACTTGCTAGTAAGTTGTCCACTCGGGCAGGCGAAAGCAGGTACCGAGTTTGCGAAGTCAGAATCTTTGAGGCCTGGGCTTGTACCCTTGAACCTCATCAAGCCTCCTCCTTGTCGTCCCTCAGAAGGCGGATCATACCTGGTAGGGCGGAAATCCTTCTCTGGTGGTCGACTCTGTCGATCCAACCGGCTTTCACTTTCACGCTTCCTGAGAAACTCGGCCCTCAAGGCTTGGGGGTACAACGCAGAATCGCCTTTCTCGCCGAAGCCGTGGCCCCAGGAATTGAGGATCGTCCAATACCTGGAGCTGCACTTTTGACATCGACTCAACTGATGCTGGGGAATTGCAGTTCCGTGCTCACCAAGTAGAAGCACTGTCACAGGTGCTACGACTCCAAACCCATTGCAGGCCTGTAGGCCTAGAGGTCCAGATTCCAGGTTAAGCTCCGAGCTTTTAAAACCTAACCTGCAGGAGTCTCAAGTTTCGAGAACGCCTAGTTTCGTCGTAGGCGTTATAGGGCTGGGGCCCGAAGCTTTGACGTGTGGCATGCCGGAGCAGCAACAAATAAATGCATGTCACGACAAGGCCGAGGCCTAGATTCTTAGACACTCGCGAAACCGTCGACACAATCAAATTGAAACCGCAAATGGAGATGTCACTTCATGCGATGGTGGGCGACATTGAGATTATGGTCAGGGCACTTCTTTCCCAGCTGTTGATCTCGTCCGTAGCCGACCAGGACAACAGCATGATCGATGATGGCGTTCTTGTCACAGTAGTCGAAGATACCATTCCTGCTCGTGGCAGTGCTCCCAAACATGACAACGGGTCGTGCCAAGAAAACCAGTTATAGTTATTGCAGTAGGTTGAAAATCAAGGCTTCCTTGTATCGCTGTTAACCGTGGCAGGGGTGGTTGAAAGCTTCCCCGAGGCCTTCATGCAGACTCAGAGGTCAAAGTTGCGGAGTGATCTGCTTAGATAATGGAGCCAAGGGTCATGTAGAGATCCCAGCTGCTAGCACTGACAGAAACAGCAACCGGCCCGTGATGATACAGGGCGCGCATCAGGGGCAAGTACTCCTCAGATCATCGAATCACAACAATGCGTGTACGGTGAACCAAGCCAGGCTGCGTATCCAAATCAGCAAAGGCTCGTTCTCTGGAAGCTTCTCCCAACCATGGATTCCAAGGCTGTGGAAGCCCCGTGAATCGCCCTGATTCTTGCGGGGGGGATCTCTTCAGAAACGGCAGGCATACCTTCATCTGTACATTCCAAGCAAGCTCTGCCAAGGCTGACCCAGGAGTTGCAGCTCCCAAATCCCAATCCCAAATGTGGCAGGGAGTGCAGACACGCCTGGGCACGCCGAAGTCCCGCATCAGCCAAGTCATCCTCTCTGCCAAATTCTACACCGGCTTTGACGCTGTCAGGCTGGGAGGATGGCAGTTGAGGGTCTTCGTAGATCGGTGATATGAGGCGGCAATACATGAGCAAGTGACGCACAGTTGGGGGGATATTCCCTTTCTCAACGGCGAAGATTCATCTAAGCCCACAGCACCTTCGGATTGGCAATTCACCTGCCCGCCCTGAAGGCCTCAAGCGCCTGTGAACGAAATTTTCTGCAAAAACATAATATGAAACTCTGCCACGCGCAAGCACTTGAGGTCAATTTCCTGGTCGGTCAACTGCAACGTAGCCACGGCCCCACTCTGGCAATCCTCGCAGCCACTGCTGCAGCGGAATATAAGGTACAGGTTGCGACACGAATTATTGTGCGTGCTTCGTGCAGAAGCCCAATGGCAGGAGCCTCAACTCTGGATGCGATGCTTTTTTCTCTAGGAAGACGCATTTCCATCCTTGCAAAGCCCGTAATGCGGCAGATGTTGACTGGGCTCAAACAGTCGATGGCGCGGAGAAGACTTGCAGAGACTATATGAGTGCTTTTGATGTAGCAGGCAATGTGGTTCGCTTTATCAGTATGCTTTGAGCAGGTTTAACGCTTTGACTGCAGCAAAATCACATCTCCGTACAGCTGCCGTTTCACTCTTACCAGACAGGACTTTTTCACGGTTCTGTAGCCCAAGCCAGGAGCCCGACCATGCTGTGCCCCTCCCTCGCCAACAGTCTAACGTTCTTAACTTTCCTCTTTCCAACTGCGATCAACTGCGAAACATTTCAATCTGCAGCCCTCTCTGCTCCTGATCTGTTCCAGTATAGGGCACCTCCGCCTCTGAGGAGAGCCCATGCCTGAGTAGTTCAATTTCTGCTCCTACGGACACTTCGACTCCAACAGCAATGAAAGTTAACTAACTTGTCATGACCTTGCCGATCTGGTGCCGGCCGAACCTATGCAGGTTTGTGGACTCCGGCCACATTCACACAAATCGCACTTCCCCACGAATCAATGATTTCATGAAGAACGAACGGAGAAGAACCCTGTTTTCGAGGGAACGGATTTCGTTGCGTGACAGGGCTTGTCTACATACCACCTCAAGAAGAAGTAAATAAAGACCGTGAGAGTTGAAGCGAGGCCTCGCAGATCTTGGTTTTGCCATCAGAAAGACAACTTGCAAACGTCATTCCGTCTGCGACCGGGATGCTTCAGTGTGTATGCCATGGCCAGCTCTACAGTCGCGCCCTTGCATCCTCCGGAACCACCACAGTTCCTTCGGGCCGGCGCTTTCGAAGCTCCCAAAATAGGCACACCACTGCGAATCCCTGGAGCCCCTGTCGGTCCTGGGATTTTGGACACAGTTGACCAGCTGCTGCGCAGACAGGGGCTCCTTCTTGCGATGGTAGATCTCTCGATGGGCCTGAACGTCGACATGTTCACTCTCTACATAGGGCCGAAAGTGCAATCTGACCTTCTCGCGGCGAAGAAGCCAACGCATGCAGGCATTTCGGATTGTCCCACACGGAATCTCACATTCGAGCGCGCTGTTGGGCGGACATGATTTGGCCATCCAAGAAAAGGCCTGAGGCCGGAGATTCTGGAATATCGACCCCTTTCCCGGAGAGCCTCCAGCACTGTCGCTGCGGTGACAGCCCAACAGGATCCACAGCCACCCTGATCCTGCGCTTGAACGCCGAAAGCGGTGATCGGATGCACCCATATCCCCCAGATAAGCGGAAATCCCAGAGCACATCGAATGTCCATATACTACCATACTGTATAGGGTTTACTGTATCAGGGCACTTTCTCCAAGGCTCTTGTCTGTGGCGGTTGGGACAGACACACAAACAAACACAGCCATGCACACAAACTCAAACATACACAAGCACAAGTTGCGTTTGTGTGCAACAATGCACCGTGTGAACTTTGCCTGATAGTCCAAATCGAGCTGCTTCGTCGAAGTCTTCCCGTTGACTTTGGAACTGTGAGCCCGTGACAGCAGGATCAAAACTTAAACTTACACCCCAAACTCCTAGAACGTCAGCTCTGCGCCGCGATTACGCCGCGCACCCCTGCACCCGCACAGTGCCTCGCTGAATCTCCCGACGGATTCAGACATACGACCACCATGGTTTCCCCCATGTGCTGGCGGGATGCAGTTCTACGGCGAAACCTGGTGGAGTACAGGCACTGGGGGAATTACATAAGACCCCAAACCGAGGCCAATGTGCTGGAATTTGCTATCAACCTGGCTGTCCCGACAACGTAGCCGCACGGATCCTGCGTAAATGACAGGACATGAGCGCAAAGTATGCACCGCAAAGGTGAACCTCCCGTTGTTGGTGCCTCGCTGCAACAGGAACCGATTGTCACTTCACCCGTAGCGTTAGAACAACACTGTTTGGATAATATAGGCATAGGATCTCGGAAAAGTTGACTGCATCACAAAAAAGCATGCACCAATTCCAAGTGTACACTGCGAATGTACGTGACCCCACCGTAAAACCCGTGTGACGGGAGGCGAAACCCTTCACCGCAAATTCCAATTGTCTCCTGCAGTTCCGAAGCCCGCCAACTCCATATCAGAAAACACGAGGCCTTTCCCTTCATGACATTCAGCTTGGTCCAGTTTAGGAACCTCGCATTGTGCGGGACTCACAGGCAGTGATCATGGCTTGGGGACAAGATTGAGACGATCGTTTCTTCCAGTTCCGCACTGGCACAGGCCGATCTTTGCTGTTTCTCACTTGGAATGTTTCAGAAGAAGTGGAAAGATGGAGCCAATGCGGCTTCGTGGCTGGTCCGGAAGTTGTGTCGACTGAAGGAGTGAGACACTGCTCCTCGTACCACGGCCTCTGCTTTGGATTGCCACACAGGACGGGAAGGCGTTGGGGTGCGCTGACAGAGCCGGCAGAGAGCGGGCTTAGAATATCCGAGAGCACATCAAAGCCAGCTAACGTCTTACGACCCTTCGACTGCAGATCTTTCCATTCCAATACAGGCTCCGGACAACCGAACTGGCTGGGCACAGCGACTGCAAAGACGATCGCATAACTCATTATACTCATTCTACACGGCACCAGGATAATCGGCTAGAGCAAAGCACGTGCAAGGAGCGATGCGCGATTACTGCAATCACTGCAATCGCTTAAACAGGGAACCAGCTGTTGAACTATGTTGAAATGGCTCCAACTTCCCCGGCCTGGAAACCACAGAGCTCACATCCCAAATCCGGAATAGTCGCCAAAGCCCGGGAAAGCAAGATGATGCAGTGTCACATGCACCCACAATACAGAAGTTCTACTCTAGTAAAGTTCCTGATCCTCGAATCCTGCCGCCTGGCCGCCCATGCCCCGTGTCGGGCTTGCGAAACCGGCCCAGCCCTTCTTCTGACTCAGCTCCTGGAACGCTTCTGGTGAGTCGTTTGGGGCATGCTTCAACGGCACTGGCGTTGTGGCAGGTCGTGCTCTCAGTTTTTGGTCGCATACACTCGGACACCCGGCGATAAAGTGAATTCATGTGGGCTACTTTATCCACGCCAGGAAAAGCCCACAACGACAGCTGCACTACAGCATTCGCCCACTGACAGTAGGTGGAGGCAGAAGCATAGCCTCAGTGCCTGGTTTCTGCTGGCTGCAAGTTCCCAAGAACTAGTCAGAATCGCACGGGGAGATCTGACTTGGCTTTCTCTATGGGCCCGAAGCTCTCGTAGATCCTTCGAAACCCTGAGCAAGCACACTCAAACGAGCCAGTGTTAGAGCGGATCCTCGGGTGTAAGGTCAGCCAATGGGCTGACGCCAGCCGTCCACAAGCGACCGGGTCGCGAGTTGATCGCCTAGAGGCTGCAGTGGGAGTTTCGGCCATTGCGGTTCTGCACGGGGCTTCAAGCTTGCTCTGAGTCGCTATTCTGGAACACTCGGTTGTGCACGGGTCACAGTGTCTCTCCTTGTTGCCCTTCTTACCTCCACAGCGCCTAGCCCAAGTAACAAATGTAGCCTCATGTTGGCGACTTTGCCAGGGAAGACACTTCAAGCAACGCACGTCGAACAGCGTTTTGAACCTGCGAAAAAACATGTCGTGCGTTGAACTCGACTTTGTTGTCTTTGACATGCGCGCGCAGTGTTGGTTGTTCCGATTCGGGGTTCGTTTCTATGACAGGACGGATGGTGTTCTTGTGATTTCCTGGTCTAAACGTATCAAAAACGCGAACAAGAGATTAGGCCCAATGTTTCGGCGCTCACACTCGGACAATCCAAGCGAGGCATGTGGTTCGAGGTCAGGGTAGCTGACTCTCACAGAGGTGCGACAAGAAGTCTATGAGTATGTACTGCCAGAGGTCAGACTGTGTTTCCAAACAGGAGCATGGAGGCACAAAGGACAAAGGCGCAAAGCCGGCCAGTGGACTTCAGCAAAGAGGGAGACTCACTGGCTCACAGGGCCTACACTACAATTCATTGCGAGCATGCTACATTACCACGTCGCCCTCTTATGGGGCAGACGTGCAAAGCATTGTGAGCAACCATCAACATAGGTGGGCAATGCAGAATGTAAGCTGCATCAGATGCCCCTCTTGGCCTCAGCACGGTGGAGGCGATTGCTAAAAATGGTCAAGCGCTTGAAGTACTCGTGTGTGCCTGTCAGAACTGGGCCGTGGATCTTGAAGCACAAGACACATTTCGAAAGCACCCAATGCATCAGAAAACAACATCAAATCGAGGAGGATTTCGCCTTTCTTGTAATTCTTTCCGTGCTGGTCAATAAAGCTGTGGAATGCCGCAATGTGATTGCCCGGAACCGCTTCCTTCAGGGACCCACGCAGACTCAAACAGAATTGACACATGGGACGATGGCACTTCAAGCAGGGCTACCCTCGTTGAGAAAAGATTGCTGCAGTCCCTGGGTCTGTCTATCGGTCAGCTGAGGATCGTCGGGTTCAATAATTAAGGTGGCAGGGTACTGGAGGCTAGCATCCCTTTAGGAATCCTTGCTGTGGCACGCGCTCTAGCACAGGGACCCACATGCGGAAGAACGCCCCGGCCCGTACCATCCTCGATTGAAACGCCGGTGACCAGGGAGAGGATGGCTGCAGCTATCAGCTTCATGGAAGGTTCGGTCGGCAGAGCACGTAAATTGCCCGAGTTAGCGCTTTTGAACCGAGTTGGCTTCGCAAGCAATTCTCTTTCACGGCAAGATTCGTCTTAACAGCAAGAATCACTGCAACAGCCCGGACAACACACCGACCACAGCCGCCCCCGTCCCCACCCCGGGGGGGGAGGGGAGTGGTGGGCTTTTTTTAAGGTGGAGAAGAGAAAGGTTTTTGAGGGGTTTGGGCAGGGGGAAGCGGGGGGGAGGGAGAGGAGATGGGGGACTGGGGCAAGGTGGGGGGGTAGGCATACCCATGACTTCGTTTTGCCGGCACCCGTGACACACACGAGAAAAACCACCAAGACTCTGGCTCACTTTGGAGCGCCACTCAGCACGTGGCATGAGCAGAAAACTTGCGAGGACTGATGGCAGAGATCTGCCTCTCAAGACATTCACTGTGACCCACGCCAGCGGTAGCAGCACCTCTGTGCTTCTGACAGGCAAACTCGTGATTGAACTGCCTGGGCGACAGGGGGCACGAGTTTCTTGCAAGGCCCTCACGGCCAGTTATGTTGCCATGATACTTGTACAGCCAAGAACACACGAACCTAAACATGGGATCCGCAGATTCAGCAACATGCGCTAGCCTATGCTTGTGAGTCACGGATGATGGAGCCAGCCACACTGCTCGCACCGCACAGCCTCACGGGCTGCATCCTTGCAGTCTGGTGTGCCGTGGAGCTGGCGAGCAAGGCGCTTGCCTTTGTTGTCGTACTCTTCCAGCCAAATCTTCCCCTGTGAGTCCAAACAAACGAACTCGCCCACACGCAGGTTCATCACCCAGCGGCCCTGCCACAAAGAACCGTTGCTGCTGAAACACACACCTTCGCCGTCTGCACGGCCATCACGAAAAGAACCCAAGTGTTGCATGTCTTGAAGCAGCAACGCGCCAAGCCCATGCGGCTTGCCGTCTCTGTCACTCCAGCGCCCGACTTCCCCAGCAAAGACGGCCGTGTTGGCAATTGGCATCGGGGAGTTCGGAGCTTTGCGCCACACTTCCTTCAAGTCTTTGTGTAATGCGATCCAAAACTCCTCTACTCCGCCCCATGGATCCATCGCGTTTCTGCGCAGTCTGCCTCGTTTGGCAATGGAAGGCATCAGCCGAAGGGGCATCTCTACGGACAGCCTCGGTGCAGCCTTTGCGGAGACCTCCTGGACAAAGGAATCACTGCATGAAGTAGCGACACTCTCCAGCATTCTATCTTCTAACCAATATCTATTTCAAAAAGCAACCTGTTCTGTGGTCCACAGGGGGGTCGGTATCACACGACTCCTGCATTAGCCGCTTTCATTCCGGCTACTAGTTAAACTACTTGACTCGCGGATGCAGATTGAACTGAGAAGGAATGAAGATTCGAAACTTTGCCGATCAATGTCATGGCGATAACTGGCGTTTGCAGTGTTCATGATGAATATCTTGCATATCCTCTGCCCAGAGGCTCCGTCCTCTGGCTCAGGGGCAACTGAGGCATGGAGACGAGCTTCAGCTCGCTGGGTTGCGGTGAGTCCATCACCTAGGAGTGTCATTTCACCAGCGAGCTTCATTGCATCATTTCGAATGTTGGCCTTCGTAGCAGGGGCTGGTGCTTCCCCAGTTGTTCTTCAACGGCTTCAGTGCCTGAAGCCCTCCGAAAGCCGATACAACCAGAATGTTTGGACAAAACCTTTGAAAATTGACATCTCAGCCGTGAGCTTTCCAATGCTTTATCTAGGGTCTTCTTGACCGCAAACTACGGAGCTCGTTGTGCCAGCGAGCACAAGCATTGCCGAGCTGTTATTGCTGTTGCTCACATTCCCACGCCGCATTGAAACAGTGCCCCTCAACTTGGCCAGAAAACTCGGCAGCAGCCACTGCCTGGGTGGCTGCCGTTCGTTCAGGAGGTGTGGCCTGCAAATGGCAATCTTCATTTGTGTAGGCTATGTTCTGGTGTCGCAAGTACTTCTGAAGCTGTACACACTCTTATGGTGAGCCCATATGGAAGGCATGATGTGAGAACTCCTTGAGTCGAACACACCGCGCTGTCTGATATGATGCCAGAAGTGTTGCTCGAGTTCTGATCTGATCAGTGTCGAGAAAGCCGACGTCCATTCACACCTCTGCCAGAACAATGACCAACAGCGACATGCATCGAGCCTTCTGTGGTGCGGCCGCTGTCCGAGATTCACCTGGCAATTCGCAAAGCAAAGATTCTCGGGCTCGGGCTGCTGTGAAGCACGTTTCGTATCGACGCGACTGGTTTGACAGCAAGCTTCCATTGAATCACACTGGCCCAGCTGGAAGATTTGGGCTGATGCTTCAGCCCGAGTAAGTCGACAACTGCAGCAAGCTGTTCTTTCAGTCCTGCGATCCAATCTGCTACTCCGAATCTTCGAGTACACACAATTTCTCAGGCCTCGCCCCAACCTTGTCCTTGGGCGAGAATGGCCTCCCAGGTTTGCACCATCGCATGAGATGATGACGCTAGCCGCCGCTAGCCAACTGTCAGCACAAAAATCGGATTGGGACGGCTCTGCTCCGCGTAAAGGAACGGGCGCGTTCGCGGTTGACAGCACAGCGCCCGACACCACATGCTGTCAACATCTGTCAAGTCAAGGGATCCCACCTGGTTCCATCCCATTGAGACACTAGCACCAGCTTCACATCGAGACGTGCCCAATTGATGAACGCCTTCCTGATCGTAAGCATGCATTCTAATCTTTAACAAGTTGCCGAGAGGGGAAAGGCTCTCACACCTCAGGATCAGGTGCTGTGCTGACGACCTGGACATGCCAGGTTCATTTCTTGACTGAGCTGTATGCGCGTTGCCGTGGTGAGCCAAAACTGCAACCGTGCCCTAATTCCATGACGTGCTAGAATGCTAGGAGGGCGGCCGATGTGGCAAGCCCTTTCCTGATGCCCTCAAAGCGAAGGATCCCAAATACAATCAAAGGACATAACCCGAAGACGCGGAATCCTTGAACTTGAACTTCGTTCGCTGAGGTTGCAGGGGGATGAACCCATCGTTCTCCACCATAGCTGCACGGACTTGCCGAAGCTAAGCCGAAGTACTGAATTGGCAGTACTCATCTGCTGTCCTTGCACCTGTAGACACAGAAACTCAACAGTGTAACTTACCCCTATACATGCATAATTTCATTGAACCTTACGTGCCTAATGTGCTAGCAAAAAACGAAGATGACGCCGATTACCACGACGATGGTGACCAGTGCACGGGCGTGAGGTGTGGTGGTGGGCTGGGGGTTTGTGGTGAGTGTGGCTGACTCTGTCTATCAATACGATTCGATGAACAAACGTGTGACTCTCGCATACATGTGATACATGTGATACAGATGATATGCGCAGCTACCCCATCTACTAGTAATTGCCTATGTTCTGTCAGCATGCGAGCTCGACAGCTGATTGAACAAACTCTCAGCAAGGACAAGGTATCCGCCGCTTGAACCAAAAATGCAATGCCGGCATGGCACTGAAGGTTTGCAAAAGGCCTTGCATCGGCAAGATGTGCAGCATATTTGACGCACTTCATGTGCCTGTTGCGAAACAGTTAGTCGAATCCTGGCAACGTACCGCCCTGTGACCGTCTGAGGGAACATGCAACAAAGCTTGGAAGGATACTGCTGACAACACAACGAGCTGCAAAAAAGAGCCGTGCTTTTTAAACTCGGAAGACAGACCTGTAGAACAAGAAGGCCAACAGGTAAGCTCGGGACGAATCCTTATAGCATCACTCAGCCGGCGCTCTTGTTTGTCGAGGTCTTCTGCTTTCGCAGCTTTCCCACCCAGGCCGTGCTATGGCCAGCGTGCCTCAACAAGGACCTCTGTTCGCGAATCAGGGGGATGCTTGAGGGGCACTTCAGATTCATCATACTTCATCCCTTCGAGGATGCCCACCCCGAAGAGCGGTGTTCGAAAACTTTCCAACTTTGTTGGCCGCGAGGCCACCGCATCCTGATCTTCTAAGCCCTCTCCAAGGTTGGGCGGCTTGACCTGGACGCGAACGAAAGAGAGCACAATACAGAGAGAGCGAGAGAGAGAGACACAGAGAGAGAGAGAGGCAGGCAGAGAGAGAGAGAGAGAGACAGAGAGAGCGAGAGCGAGAATTGAGAGCGAGAGCGAGGAGGTGAGAGATAGGAAGGGAGATGGACTTCCGAAAACATAACATCAAGGTGTTGCAACAAAAAGCGTCACCGTCGATCGCCCGGGCCCCCGGAAGCGAAGCTCTCAGGCACGCCTTGCTAATCTCAACGGTCGCCCCGGCCTGCTGGAGAGTCTCACAGATTATGACAAGACTGATCGATCGTGAGGTTTTGCGCTGTCAGCTCCAGGACGAATCTAAGGTTCAAGCGAATCCCGGGAAGGTCGGATCCCAGCCATTCTCTACTCTGCTGTGATACGGTCCGCGTGGCACTGGCAGATTCGTTCACTATTCCACGATCATGTGCAGCTGCCAAGTTGCAGGCGCGAATACTGTTTCCAAAGTGAAGCATCTGTGAGCGAAGACTCCAAATCCTGCTTTGTGGCTTGATGTAATACACCAGCAACCTCAAGTGAAGCCAATGTTCAAGACCCAAGTGTGTATGTACCTCGGCGAGACAGTCCAAAAATCACGAGTCTATGTGTGCCCCTCAAAGGGTGATTACTTGAAGTTTGCCCCGAAGCTTCTTTCTTCTAACCCAGGATGCAACAGAACCACAACACCCAGTCCACCAGGGCCTCGCGCAGTGCGCCTGCGAAGGCTTCGCGGGCCCCAGTAATGCGCTCGCGCCTGAGATTCTTGAAAATAATGGGCCCTAGCACCTTTAGTGTGGACAGCACTGGATGTACAGGGGCTACGGAGCCTGGTGACAATGAAACACAACATATGAGCTAGGTCTTATGGCCGGAGACGACAGGCGTTCCCACTCGGAATCCGACCGAATTCACTACTGTACTGTAAGCCCTGCACCCCATGATCGGACCTGTGTCTTTGAATCCCCACGGTCTTGGCCCACGCAGACAGATGAAACTCGGAGCGTGCCGAAGGCTTCAACTCCCTGTTCGAAGAGACGGGGTCGAACCGTGGGAATCCCAACACCTGAACGCTCTGTGCATCGGCCACGCATCCTGCGAAGCAACAGCCACAGGTTATGGCACAAAGATGATGGCACAATATCACATTCGCAATAAGAAGGTAGACTGAGGTTTGTTGCAAGCCGACCCAGCCACTTTTCGGTAGCTGCACGATTGGCTGCACATGTTCGAGGCAGCGCACGGCTTTTGCGGCGTCTGGGCCTGAGCAGGGCCTTCTTCTGACCTTTCCTGCAGTGAACCCGGTGCCAAAGTTTGGCTGGACTCAAAGCTCCACGGCTTTTGAGATCCGGAATTCATACCGTTGATTCTCCTGAATCTCGGGCTGGGTTTCGACTCTGGCAAATGGACAAGCAAGCTTACCACTGTGGATTGAGCCGAATATCGATTTGGTTGTCCGGGGTTGCAACAGGAATGACTAACCTTCCAGCGATGCTGCAGATTCATGGGCGAATTGATCGGGCTTTGTCTCGTACATGATGCTTCTTTGGTTCTTGTTTACAGGATCTTCCGGCATCGCGATGATGCTTCGGAACATGTGTGATCACTTCCCGCAGATGAGCGAGGAGCATCAAACATACTCATCTCGCCCTGCCACCTGCGAAGATGCAACGATGCACAGGCGGGTTGTCTTTGTCGGACACGGCAGTGCTTGATGCTACTACATATCTACTACATAATCCAAGTGCTACTGCTACTGATGCCGCTACGTCTGATAGATCCACAACGACTTCGACTATAGGACTACGTGGCAGTAGTAGTAGTAGTAGCAGCAGCAGCAGCAGCAGTGGCAGTGACCGTGGCAGTAGCAGTCGCAGGAGCCGTAGTTGTAGTACATAGTAGTAGTAGTAGTAGTAGTAGTAGTAGTCGTCCTCGTCGTCGTCGTCGTCGCAGTAGCAGTAGCAGTAGCAGTAGCAGTAGCAGTAGCAGTAGTAGTCGTCGTCGTCGTCGTAGTCGTAGTCGTAGTAGTAGTAGTAGTAGTAGTAGTAGTCGTAGTCGTAGTCGTAGTCGTAGTAATAGTAGTAGTAGTAGTAGTAGTAGTAGTAGTAGTAGTAGTAGTAGTAGTAGTAGTAGTAGTAGTAGTATTGTCACCCACATGGCACTCCAATGACACCTCCGCGGAGACTTAACGGTAAGTAATCACAATGGAGCCCTGCGTAAAACAACCGAGAAAATGTACGTTTACAGAAGGACAGATAAAGGAGTAATTAGGCCCAGTCACCACAACAGAAGGGTTCACCTAGGCTCCATCGTTCTGCTTCGCTATTTCGCAGCATCAACTATCAATGCTTTCTGGTACCGCACTGCAGGTTGTTTCGTGCACTCTGTCATGTGAAGACCACAACCAGGCTACCAACCAACAAAAAGCCCATGGCAAAACCATACAAGCAGCTGTAACAGTAGCAGTAGTAGTATAGTAGTAGGAGTAGCAGTAATAGCAGTAGCAGTAGCAGTAGTAGCAGTAGTAGCAGTAGTAGCAGTAGTAGTAGTAGTAGTAGTAGAAGTAGTAGTCGTAGTCGTAGTCGTAGTCGTAGTCGTAGTAGTAGTAGTAGTAGCAAGAGTAGTAGTAGTGGTAGTAGTAGTAGTAGTAGCAGTAGTAGTAGTAGTAGCAGGAGTAGTAGTAGTGGTAGTGGTAGTAGTCTCCTATGCTTGGCTGCATTGCTTTTTGCAAAAAATCTTCTGTGGTGCTAGACATGGTGTCTGCGAGCTAGCCATTGCCTGTACGAGTAAGACGCAGCGATCACAAGTCTCCGGATCCATGCGCAACCCGTCAAGACTTCCACTCACGGCTCCGGCAAAGCAAAAGCCCGGTGTCACTCAGTACTTCACCGCGAGGAGCTAGGACCGGGTGTGTAGTGTGCCAGCCCCTCCTCGGCCAAGTCTTCCGTGCCATAATGATGTACCATGGTACAGGATAATGCGCGCACTCACACGTGGTATAGGCCTAAGCCATGGTTGCTCACTAACAAACACAGCTTCGAGGTGGAGCCTGCAGCTTCGCAGCAGCTTTGCTTTTGTTGAGGTTCCGTTTGCGAGGTCTAAGTTTCCATGCCTTCGCCGGCTCTTCTAAGCTGCTACCGAAAGCGACCTTGAACTTCTTGTGGAAATCTTACCTAATCCGAAAGACCAGGTGGCATGAGGGATGAGCTCTGATGTGAAGAAAGCTCCGAAGAAGATCACGAACATGAGGACAGCTCCAGGCCTCGCTGCCGTCTAAGAGCTTGCAGGTCAATTCTAATTTGAGGTCAGGTGAACAATGGAAACCCGCATTGGTGCATGCTTCGTAAATCCTGACGCCGCATGTTTTGGTTGATCCAGTTGGCATCCAGAAGATGCTACTAGCGTTGTGCTGGCCTATGTGCCCTGGTAGGGCCAGGGACTGCGCCAAGGAACGTCCCGCTCGGAAGGAACTGACCTGCACGCCAGGCGGGGGTACTTGATGTGCCCACAGGGCGAATTTGAGCTGCACAGAGGCCAAACAACACGCGGGGCCTTCGACCAAACCAGCACCCGACCAGCATGAGTCAGCACATGAACGCCGAAACACGACTCCAGAAGAACCAGTCAGCTTCAAGCCAACAACCCTCCGGCGCCTGCGCTCACGAAGCCCAGGAAGAAAATGAGTTGGATGACCAGGGTAAGCAGGCCCCAGACAGGCCAAAACGCAAAGAAGAACAGCCAAACCTTGGCTCAAGAACAGGTCTTCCGTGGTTCTGACAATCTAATTAATTACAGGCCCTGTCTCAGCAAGGCGACCCCAGATTCGGAGGCAATAATCAACACCCAACATGCCACCTGCTCGCGGGTGTTTTTTGTTATCAACTGTCTGCTTTGTCATCTTACGGCTTTGTCCAGGACAGGACAAGGGCAGCCAGACAGCCAACCACATTGAACCACAGAGTCAGCAGGGAACCGTGCGAGTAGACACGTGATCAACAAAGATGGCAACGAAGGAACCGCAGCGACACGGCAACGAAATGAGCGAATACGGCCGCAGCAGCATTGCGAAAATCAAGAGAAGACCAAGAGGCACACCAACAGATCGGGCATAGAGATGTAGGAAATCAAGCCAAATACAAGTAAACCATAACGCCATTTCGAAAATGGCAAGGATGAAAGGTCCAACCAAAAAAGTGCAGGAACAGGCAACCTATCAAAGATGTATACGTACAGGCCAGGAGACACACATCGGCAGCAGACAAACAAATGCATCGAGGAAAATCGCAGAAACAGGAGGGAGAGGGAGGAAGGCACGGAGGCAGGGAGCGAGGGAGGGAGAAAGAAAAAACAGACCACAGACAGCGCGAAGCATGCAAGAGAGAGAACAAAGACAGAGAGAGAGGGAGAGAGAGAGACAGAGAGAGAGAGAGAGAGGACAGATAGACAGAGAAAGAAAGAGAGCGAGAGAGATAGAGATTAGATAGGTGACTAGATAGGTGGATGGATAGATCCGAGCCAGATGGCATTTTGCTTGAAGGTAGCCGGTTGGCAGCTCGTAGATCGGTCGGTAGATGGGTGGGTGGGTTGTTGGATCGGTGGGTGGATAGATGGCCAGTTTCTGGGAGGGGACCATTCAGAGATGGACCGACAGATCGATCCAGTAGACTAGTTAGATCGCATAGCTAGACTAGCTAGATAAGATACACGAGATAAATCAGTTAGACAAGCTAGAGGAGCTGGATAAGCTAGATCAGCCAAATTGCATAATTTCAGTTTGGATTGGATGAAACTAAAGTAGATCGATCGATGGACGGATGGATGGATAGATGCATAGCTGGATAGATCGATGGATGGCTGGCTGGCTGGATGGACGGATGGACGGGTGGATGGATGAATCGATGGATAGCTGGATACTTCGATCGATGGATCGATGGATGGATGAAGTGCTGGCTGGCTGGATGGGCGGGCTGGATGGTGGACTGAAAGGGCACATGGATGGATAATCGCTTCCCCCAAACAATAAACAGACCCCTAATTATAAAAACACTTTTCCCCCGATCCACCTGGAAGTAGCACCGCCCTTTAAACCCTAATCTGAATTAGGGGGAAGGTTTAGGGTCTACAGATTGAGGGTTTAGGGGGAACAAGTATAAGTGCATGACTCAGCAACTGCTCAATTGAGCCGCATGAAAAGCTTTATTAGCCAAGCCTTTATTGAAGCCTATTTTTTTAATGCGTATTTACGGATTTAGTGTGTATTTGCACGGATTTGTGTATTTGCACGGATTCAGTGTGTATTTGCACGGATTTAGTATGTATTTGCACGGATTCACGGATTTACATGTATTTGCACGGATTCTGTGCGTATTTGCACGGATTTGGTGTGTATTTGCACGCATGTCCTGTGTAGTTGCACGAATTTAGTGTGTATTTGCATGGATTTGGTGTGTATCTATACGCATTTAGCGTGTGTTTGCACGGATCCTGAGTATTTGCACGCATTTGGTGTTAGTTAGAGGGATTTAGTGTGTGTCTTTACACGGATTTAGTGTGTGTATTTACGCGGATTTAGCGTGTGTTTGCACGGATTCGGCGTGTATTTGTGCGGATTTAGTGTGCATTTGCATGGATTTGGTGTGTATTTGCACGCATATCGTGTGTATTTGCACGAATTTCGTATGTCTTTGCACGAATTTGTATGTCTTTGCACGGATTTAGTGTGCATTTGCACGGATTTGGTGTGATTTGCAACCCTTA